CCCCAAAACCCCAAAACCCCAAAACCCCAAAACCCCAAAGTGGGAGGATTGGGGAGTTTAAAAGGGATCAAGGTGTTTTTGGGGGTTGGGAATTGGAGGTAAGTGGAGGTAAAGGGGAAGTAAAGAAAGGAATGGGCCTAGGACATTTTTGATGTGTTTTGAGCAAATTTTGGGAGAATTTGGATTAGGAGGTGGTGTCGGGACACCTGGTGTGAAAATAGGAATGTCTGATCAAAGAGGTGTTTTGTTATTCCTGATAATTTTAAGATATAAGGATACTTATATAACCTAGAAGCAAGATTACATTAAAAAGCATTGTACTTGCACCTACTCAAGTTTTATCAACACTCTCATCCATTTAAAAATCAGAAAATTTGAATACTCAAATTATTTGTAAATAAATACTACCAATACAGTAAACTTTACTAATCCATAAGCTTATATACTGCATTCCCAAACACTGTCTATCTAAAAGCACCACTTCTAACTGCCGTTCACCCGCATTAACTTTGGCATCCCCTCTTCTGAGGCTGATAAGGCTAAGGTTAAATTTTAATAATTTTTATGGAAATTATCTTATTCTGAAAGACTATAGAGTACTTTTCTATATCTCTCAAAGTTTACTTCTTGATTTTTGAGGGTTCCCAAGAATTCTTCTTCAAAGTCCAACCGGATTTTTTGGCAGATTTTCTTGAATCATGGGTCTTTAGAGATTTTATTAAATGTGCTAGTGCTAAAACTTTTGCAACACTTCATAGCCAGACTAGCCTTGTTGGATACATCATTGGACTCATCCTCATTTACTACGGGTTTTAGATCTAGCAAGGCTTGCACAAAAATATTGAGTTTATATTTTTCTACAATCTCTGCGGAAAACAGTTCGATTCACATCTCTTTCACCGATTTTGTTAGTTGGGCCTGAGGTACATTTACTATTCTCCATAGGAACAGAGAAGGGTATCTAGCCTTGAAAAAATTCAAGTAAAATCTCCGGATTGCTCTTAAGACTGCCTTAAGAACTATATCTTTCCTTGCTGAGTACTTCATCCTCTTAGAATTGAAGATCGAACTATTTCCAGTTTGTCTCACCTTCAAAGAGGGCTCAGATAAAACTGGTAGTGTTTTTCTTTCCATATCCTTCCTCAAAGAGTAAATTTTTTTATTAGAAGCAGCATCCTCATGAGATCACTGAGATTTATCTGAATTTTCTGGATCAAACATCTTCTTGCTCAATTTGACACCAAATTCGTGGCCTATAGTGCCATATTCTTCGCTAAACTGAAGGAGTTCCTTCTAAAGATGAGACTCTGGCTGCTTACATAATCAGTACTGAAGTCCCATTGAGGAAAAAGCTGGTCATATTCAAAGGTAAAATCTGTAGAATTAAGCATGTTCTGGAAATTATTATTGAAAAACTTCAGCCTTGAGCTTACATATCGGGGTTTTGGGGTTTTGGGGTTTTGGGGTTTTGGGG